AGAATGCTGGGAGGTGCAATGTAATAACATCTGAAGGGCCACACTTTGCCCTGGACTGAATTCAGTTGTTACTAACTGTGGGAAGTTTTTAGCCTAAAGTTCCATCTTGTGGCTATTAAGGGGTACTTCAGTGGTGTTTAGCATAATCAAGCTATTGTAGTATAAAGATGCATTGTTCTGTGATTCTCTGCGCATGTGTGGAATGTCCTAAAACAGATTGTTACTCGATGCCTCTTTGGCTAAAATCTTATCTTTATGCTAAAAAATGCTAATGATAGTACTTAATAAAAAGACATGCCTCCGGAGAAGAAGGTAGACATTTTGTAGACATTTTTTACAGGCAGACATCTTCATCGATGATATGCCTCATAACTAAAGACTGCAGTCTGTCTTCATTCTATCAGAGATCTTTCCCTGGTTTTCATGCAGCTGCTGCTTGGGCTGGCTTCCGAGTGGCGGTTCCCTGGGGATTTTCCCCACAACTAACTAGAATAGATCCACTGTTTCAACTGAATTTATGCAAGTGATTTACCAAATTTCCATTGATTCAATGGGTCTTTTCTAATTGGGATTAACAATTGTGTTTAGCTCTGTCTTTTTGAGACTTCTGATATCTGAACATGGCAGTCTATAAAGTTCTTGAATAATGAAAGTAAGATTGACAAGTTACACCAGCAGAGAAAGTTGGCAGCTCAATTTTAGAACCCTCTAACCCCTTGTGAGTGTCACTGAGCAATGCTATACAACTGAACTAGTTTAATAAGTCCTTCGTTCATGAAGAGCCGTATGACAGACCCATTGCTCACTCAATACTGCTGAATTAACTGAAATGTACTTCCAAACAAGAACACAGATTCCCACTTATCTGGGAGTAAATCCCATTAGACTTAATGGCTGAAATCTCAGTGGTTTATTATCTGGCTGCGTAACCCAGAGGTTGGGAGTTCAATTGTCCACGGTGCCTCCTATGAAGTAGAGTCAGCTTATGTGGCCCTGGACAAACTGTGCAGTCGCAGGTCATACCAGAAGAAGGGAATAGTAAACCACTTTTGAGTATTTTCTACCTGAGAAACCCTGAAATGTGTAGCAGCCATAAGTCAGAATTGACTTGATAGCACATGAAGTAGAGTCAGCCTATGTGGCCCTGGACAAACTGTGCAGTCACAGGTCATACCAGAAGGGAATAGTAAACCACTTTTGAGTATTTTCTACCTGAGAAACCCTGAAATGCGTAGCCATAAGTCAGAATTGACTTGATAGCACATTATTATTTTGACTTCCACTTTAATCATGGGGAAGCAGTTGGGGGGCACAGGATGGGAGGCTTTATTTTCCAAAAATTGTCGCTGCCAGCACAATTTTACTTCTGGCAGCAAATTTAGGAAATTAAAGATCCTTGACCCATGACCACCAGCAGCTCTCGTACAATGAATGGATCCCGTAAGAGCCTCAGGATCTGCAGGGGAGGGGGATAAGAATTTTTTGTTTCTGAAAAATCAGTGGCTGATGAAATCATTGGTTTTTCCAATAGTATCATTATCAGGGTTTCAGCCATTGTGTTGTATTTGATTTCTTGGTGGTAGTTGCCTTCTAGAGTCGCGTTAATCTGTTAGCAAATATGTTATTTCACCCAAAATGAGCCTGTGGTGCTACATACTGTCTTAAATAATGATGGGGCATAAGGAGAACTTGTCTGTTTGATTGCTTTCGCCACTTAAAGCAGTGCAAATAATGCATGTCATAAATATGGTAATGGTCAACATATGGGGGGGCATTAATCACTTTAGAACATCTGACATTTCTTTCTCTGGTACTTTCAGTTATCTCATGGCACATCGGCTCTATGGGCCTCATCAAAGAACAAAGATTGGGTGGGCTATAAATGTTTTAAATAAAATTGCTCAATCAATTGAACTTGGTTACAGGCAGGATGATCAGCTCTGGAGGTAAAGAGATTAAAACAAGGAAACACATTTGGATGATGTTGAGATACTGAGGATTATACAAGATCTACTGCTGCCATTTGCACAAAACTGCAGAATCTGAAATGCACATAAAATATTGGGAAACAAATACTGTACCTGTAGTCAGAGGTCTTAAGTTCTACTGGTACTCCTTCTAGCTCAGTGTTGTCCACAGTACTGCCTTCACCTGGACGCTCCTCGGTCCTCCATGTCAATAGGAAAATTAGTCCATAGTGCCCCTAAATGTTATTTCCTTCCCTGTTCTAACCACTACAACAAATGTACAAGTGAGCTAATTCAGTGCCCTTCAAACTTCGCAAACAATGATATTTCACTTTTAGGAAACAGAGAGCAGTTGGCACTTTTTCAAGGTTTCAAATGAATGCAGTCAATGCAGTTTATCAGAAAAATCTTAAGTGGTATAAAATAATAATCATATGCTATCAAGTCAATTCTGATTTATGGCAACACTTTTCAGGGTTTTCCAGGTATGGAATACTCAGAAGGAATTTACAATTCACTTCTTCTCGGGCATCCTGGGTTTGTGCAGCTTGCCCAAGGCCACACAAGCCAGCTCTTCTCTCAGGAAGCACAGTGGGGAATTGAGTTCCCAACCTCTAGCTCCACAACCGGATACCTAAGCCAATGAGATATATATTAGGTAAATAACTCTAGGCACTCTTACCATTCAAATCAAATCCTACTGCTTTAAAAATCTGGTGGTGAGACCTGTGTAAGGGCAGGGCCAAAAATAAATTTCCTGGAAAATTGCCAACCAACTTCTAAAGCATGCAAAAGGTATTAATAAATTAAATTATTAAGGATAGCTTGTCATGTTATTCATTCCTTCTTGTAGATTCAAACTCCAGAGGTTGCTAGACTAGTATTCCTGTCAACCCAGCCAGTTTGGGCTTCCGTGGGGCATGATGGGTGTAGCAATTTGCTAACATTTGGAGGACTACAGGTGGACGATCAGCTCACCTGTTTACTGTACAGAGTAGTTCAGGCAATGAAAAAAAGGGGGCAGTGCTTGGTGGGACAGATTAAGGAAATTTGTTACTGCTGAGTGGGAAGGTTCAGCTTCTGTCATCTACATGCCACAATAACAACAATCAAGTCAATTCTGACTTACATCAACCCTTTTCAGGATATTTCAGGTAGAGAATGCCCAGAAGTGATTTACTATTCCCTTTTTCTGGGGACACCTGGGGACTGTGCAGCTTGCCCATAGTCACACAGGTTGACTTAACCCACAGAAGGCACAGTGGGGTACTGAACTATCCGCTGAGCTATCCAACCAGTACATGACCCAAAGGCTCTTGAAGTCAAGTTACTTTGACCTGTGCATTAAATATGTGCCTGAGTAAACCCCAGGTAAAGAAAAAAGGTTTGTTGCTGTCATGTGAGATGTCACACCTGATCCTTAAGCACCATGCAGCAATTCACAATTTAGGCTCCCAATGGGTGGCAGTGGCAAGAAATACAGTTTCCTTTATGGTAATAAGATAAACAATATTTAATTCATCTCATAACAATACTTTAGAAATAATACTTTAAATATTCTCAGAGATGATGACGAAGATGGTGACTCATAATCACCATCTAATTTCAGCTAGTACTATAAATATGCCTTGAGGCTGCCCAAGGCAGTTCCCCACTCCCTGAAAGAGCCTCATACAAGGGAAGAAGCTATGTCAGAAGACTCTGTTGCCAGCTGCCTATCCTATTTTAACACTGCAGTGAAGGAGATGAGAGGGAAAACCCTTTTTACCAAATCAAATACCAACTACTGTATAAATTCATTTCATATGAAATATATCTGTTGCACTGCCGAACAATAACGCATACAAGGTCAAATGCCCCTCCCTGGTATTCAAGGTCAAGATCTTATTCTGAAATCCAAGATTTTGTGTTTTCCACCAACCACCCCCTTCATAGCAGCTACTTTCTAGGGTGGCAAATTTCATTCTGTCTCAGAATCACATCCTTGACCTGGAAGTCCCAGTCCTTACTATCAAACATAGGATGGCTAGCTACGATTAATAGAGTAGTAAAAGAAAAGGCACATACCGAAAGGCATCCTAGTATTTGTAATTATTTCTTGTAATTCAGGGTGCTAATGTTATCAGATGAAAGGCACTGTTCCAACTTTTCTTTCTTAGCAGATTCTTTATGGAAGGAAAACAGATGGAAGAACCTTGTAATGGGAGGATTAAAAAGTGGAGACAATTATGACATCTGAAACCCTGCCACCACTAAATAAAATTCTATGAATAAGGCTAGGCAATTATATGACAAAATCCTTGTCTGAAATGCACCAGAATCATGGCTGAAAGCTAGAGACCCATCCAACACTAGACTCTGTTAAAACAGACAACCAAGCATGTATGTGTACATAATTTACTCTTGAAAATGAGTCAACTGAGGCTTAACACATTTAGAAATGTAAAGCCATTACTCCTCCCATATGGTTTATTCAGATTCTTGGAGGCTTTTTAAAGCATGAGTAGCAGTGATGCTCATTACTCTTTCCAACATGCAAAAGGCACAAGAAAGTGAGAAATGTGATTTTTTTTTCTGTGCAAAGTGTTTCTAAGAAAAATACAGAACAGAAAATGGTTGGTAAAATCTCAAGAAAGAAAGACAAAAACAAAATAAATCTTTTGGAAATGGCTTGAAACTCATGAAAACAGTTATGTTGTTATGAGTCCAGAAAGGCTCCATTGGTGAAGGATGCTTGGCAAATTCATGAAAGCAACTTGAGGCAGACTCCTTGTTAAGACAGAAATTCACCTGCAAAATCAAGGGTTACAATCAGAAAAAACCATCGGCCATTGGCTGTAAGATACAATTAAAAAATTAAAAAATTGAAGTAGAAAGTGGATACATTCTAAGCGCAGGTCAATAAAAATACAAGATCCAATGGAAATGTTGATACAAAGAGAGAGACACACGTCCACAAATAACTTTTTTCCACCTAACTGAGAACTTCACAAACTACTGTGGTCTAATTGACAGTGTCCATTCTATTTCCTCTTTTTTTAAAAGCTTCCATCTTACCACAACACTACAACACCTCCTAGGAAAGAAAGGTCTCTGCTATTTGCACCTGTGAAAAAATGTGCTATGTGGCCAACAAACATTCAAAAAACTATGAAAAGGTACAGAAGGAAACCCCATTTTTCCATTTTGTGTTACTGGGGTTACCCTAGCTTGTCGATGGGACTTGCTTGTGCTAGAGGGCAGTTTTGCTCCGCAGTGGTTGTGTAAAGCATCAGGACACATCCACTGCTTATAGTTTTACAATACTTAAACCTTTAAAAAAGGCATTATACAAGTTGAATATTTTTGTTGACTTGCTTCCTTGCAGTATAAGTTTTCTACTTCTAGACTATGGAATGTTACATTAACAGCATAGTTATTCATATTGGCTTCAAATTTCGTTACAATTACTGAAAATTCCTCATGGGTTCACACAGCACAGAGACACCAAACAAAATACTGGAACAGCCAGCATTATATGTATTTTTTCTTTAGATACCAATAAGCAAAATAGCCCATCCCCCCTAGAGATCCCATAAGGAAGGACGCTCCGAAAAAGGATGGAGGTTTCCGTTTGACCAGCCTGAAGGCATTGGGTACCACTGCTGAGAGAAGCGTGGTGTGTATGTCTCCCAAAACTTTCCTGAAGGCAAAACGTTTTTGTATCCTTTCAAAGAAGTTCTGTAGGTTAGGTCTGCTGCCATCTTCCCAGAATTTCTTAGAGAGTCCTAGAAACTTGAGACGGTGCAATGTGGCTCCCAGCAAGATGTCAGCCAAGGTAAATACACATCCACAAAGCCAGAGTTCACATTTTTGTCCTGGAGGATAAAGCCGCCAAAAGAAAAATCAAAGTTACAAATATAATATCTACAGGACATACAATATATGTATACTGTATGATACACAGTTTAAAAAATACAGCATGTTTAACAGATGTCTACCATATTTCTGGCCATTGTGTAATTTCAGTCCCCCTTGACATGTGATCCAGAGATCCCAGGCTCCTCAGTTCGAGGTTAGGACTATTTCCAGAGGAGAAGCCAGAGGGGTAGTCAGTAGCAGCAGAAATAAGTGTATCTTAAAGACTAGCAAACTTCAATGACATACATTTTGGTGGACTACAGCCCACTTCTTCAGAGGCATATTAAGACCATTCTCTCAGTCTGACTGAATTTTTGGACCCTGTTCCCTCATAATTCCCGCCAACCTAGCGGTTCGAAAGCATGCAAATGCAAGTAGATAAATAGGGACCACCTCGGTGGGAAGGTAACAGCTTTCCGTGTCTAAGTCGCACTGGCCATGTGACCACGGAAGATTGTCTTCAGACAAACACTGGCTCTATGGCTTAGAAACAGGGATGAGCACCGCCCCCTAGAGTCGAACACGACTGGACAAAAATTACCTTTACCCTCATAACACGTTTGTTCCTTAAATCCTCATTGCCAGCAGCATGAAAGAGATTGAGATTTTTATCCTAACTGTAAGTGCTCCTTTTTTAAGTTTATTAATATTTATTCTTTATTCATGTATTTATTATGTTTACAATGCTCAAAGAGGGAGAAACGACTGGCCTAAGATCATCCAGAGAACTTCACAGCAAAGTGGGAGGAATGCATTATTTGTCAATATAGTTGCACCCGTCCATCCAGAGAACTTCACAGCCAAGTGGGAGGAATGAATCTGCATTATTTGTCAATATAGTTGCACCCGTGTGTGATGTCTGGCCAGTCATTATCATTGTTAACTAAAACAAAAGAGCATGAAGTACAAATGGCTGACACATACACAGAAATGTAAATCATATATGATTTCCCACATGCTTTGTGATAAGAAGCTTGATGGGGTACTGAAACCCCATTCCCTTCACTAGGGATCATCAGCAACCCCAAAGCAGTAGATTCTTAGTTTGGCTTCTAATTTTGACCCACACATTCCAGTTACTATTGAAAGCACAGTGTCTAAAAATGTAATTTTTAAAAAAGGAAGCTGAAGTTCTCTAGAATAATACTGAAGATTTTCTGTGCTTCTGTATAATTAATCCTAGATGCAATGCTGTCTACAAGTACATATAGGGATGGTCTCAGTTGTAATGCAACCTAATATATCTCCACAAGGTAAAGTCCAAATAATGTATCTATTTTCCTTTGCATACATTTTATGTTTTCTGTATGATGTCGAAAGACAGCTTACAAAATCATGATATAAGCATTACCTATTTTGCCCACATAGCAACATATTGCATTCATAATAATTGGTTATTTATTTATTTTTCATTGTTATGTCTGTCACCTTGGCATTTCTGCATGTAGCTTGCAAAGGTTTTCAAGGGTATCTTGTGAGAGAACAGAAGTAACTTGAGCTGTACAAGCCCCAGTGACTTTCAAAGTCTCCAAGATAGGCCGTATACAGGCTGGCTTTTGAATGCACTGACAGGTGCAGTTATTAGAAATGTCACGTCTGCGTTGAGGAGGGCTAATCTTGAATAGCCACCATCTCTTCTGGGAAGGCTGTTCAAAATGTCTCTTCTAAATGGAGAGGTTCCTGCTGTGTGAACAGTGATTTGCTTGACTAATGTATATTTGCATATTTTCAAAGGCCAGAACTACTGTATCTCTTCCCAGGGAACAGGTAGAAAGGCAGCTGTGGAAGGCTTTCTAATAGAAAAAAAAATCTTCAGGGAAAAAAGGTTAAGAAGCCTATAAAAAGAAAAGAAAAATTCCACCCAACTTGGTAAGTCCTAGGATTGTAGAGCATTTGAGTGGGATCTGGAAGATTAGATTCAAGTCATTTTCAGATATCTTTTTCCACCTAAACCTGGGATTATTTTCTTGATCTTTCAAAGCACGTTTTAGATCCATATGAAACACCATGCCTACATGTCTGTTTTCAACCCCTGCTTCTTTCCTCTTTTTCCTACCTGTTTTAATGTTTTGGATGCCTCTGTTCTGACCACACAATGTGCCTCTGTTTCTTGCAAGCAGATCAGCTGCTTGGCCCTGAGTGTGCAAAACCTTCTTAGATACCAGAGGACTGATCCTGCCATTAAGGCTGGGATGGCATCAATTCTGTGTTCCATCAGCAACTTGGGGTATCTAGCCGCCTAGAGTGGTCGAAATGACTAGATAGGCGGGGTATAAATACAATAAATAATAATAATAATAATAATCTGTGTGTGCAATTTATTTTTGAAAGACATGCTTTGCAGAATCTCCCCTTTTCCTAGAAGGAGTGCTTAGTATCTTTCAGATAGAAAGGCCAGGGGTCAAATCATCCAAGCTGCATATGCAAAAGATGCCCAGACACTCAAGGACACTCCAAAACAAATTATCCATGTTGGTTTCCCTATGTCATTATTTGGATATTTAAAATAAAATTTCACTTTCTTTGATTTGGTATTCTGATGTGTAATTTCTCTGTATGACACTTGGAAGTTTTCTTCTTGAATAAAGAGCAGTTGATAATAAAAAAAAACCAAGCATTGGTCAGTTATCTCCAAATTTTATGTTGTAAAATGTCAACAGTACACTTAAATGTTATCAGCGATAGTTTTCAAAGAGGTAGCTAAGTTAGTCTTTTTCAGCACATATAGCAAAGGTAGAAGGAAAAGAGTTGTTGCATCTCAAAAGATAAGGAGATTTTATTTCAGTGTGAGCTTTTATAGATTGTGTCTGGAAAAATCAGGAAAAGAAAGAATGAATGAACGAACAAACGAATGAACAAATAAATAACATGTTGTGTTATTTAATTTACATGTGTCAGTGTGAACTTTCATGGATCAAGTCCACTTACTCAGACACAGAAATTGGAATTGTATTTGAGGAACTAGATTTTAACCCATGTAAACACACGCTGGACTAAATTTGCTCATCTTTAAGGTGCTACAACTCTGTTAGTGATAGAAGCTGTAATTTTTAAGGAGTGCTGTGAGCAGAATGCATCAATATGCTCCCCTCCACTCAGCAACAGAATAACACCAATAAATAATGGGCATAATTTGTTGGTTATATTTCTATCCTACCTTTCTTTCAAAAAGTTCAAGAAAGTTTCCTTGGCTCTCTTCCTCCTCCCTTTATCCTCACGACAGCCATTTGGGGCAGGCCAGTCAAGAGAGTGTGAAACATCAGGGAGTTTCACGGCTCACTGAGGATTTGAACTTGGAATCTCCAAAATCCCAATCTAATAATTATTGCACCATGCTGGCACTCATGATGCCAGTGATGTGAGGGAGTCCAGATGTGGAGCTTGCAGGACATGCTTAGCACCACTGCCAGGCTATTCCTTGAGTCTTCATCACAACACTGCTGTAATATCTAGGGGAGGGGTGGCCCATGGCAGTGATGTCTCATACATATGGTCTCTGCAGTGCTATTCGCTTACTTACACCAAACATCTATTCTCTTAATGTACTTTGTTAGTGGGGATACATAATTCATATGGGCAGGCTATTACATGTGGGCAGCTGATTTTCAGGTTTGCACAGTGCTGTCTCTGAGAGTTGGGGTAGCTCAGTGGATGAGAGTGTTTTAGTGGGTTGGATCTGCCGGTGCAATAACTCAGAGTATCACTGATAAAGTTACCTGCCCTACCATTTCTGAGTAGTTTACACCTATAAAACTTGGGGGGTCACCATAAGGCAGAATGAATTAGGTGGCACAGAATTATTATTTAGTGCTGCCTTCTCATCCCCACCAGCTGCTGTCATCAGCACACATACGAGCATCAGCAGAAGTTTGTAGGTTTACTCAGCTTCACCACTACCACCATCCAAGTCCATTTAAATCTTGGGCAGAAGAAATGGAGCTGCCAGAGCAGGTGAGATTAAATTTGGCCATATGGCAGGGTCCCATTCACCTTGCCAAGTGGTGCTCATCAAATTAAAACATTGGCCTTCCAAATATACAAAACAAAACAAAGAAAACCAAAGAGTCCCTCCCGATAAAAATGTCCTACCCTCTAGATAACAATAAAAACATAAAAACAAAATTAAAATATGTTAAACTTGAAAATAATTACATCATAAAAACAATTTTGCTGGATGTCCTGTGCTACCAAATAACGTGACAGATGATCTTTAGTGCTGTCTATGGCAGACTTTAAGTGTAATCTAATTTAGTGGGCAGGGAAAAAGACTGGGTGAGAGAAACAATGGCGGAACAAGGTGGAAACTGTTGTTGCTGCATCCATTCTCAGTGCTTTAGGACCTTTAAGGGTCACTTGTTCCCTCTGAGAGAGAACCTGGAAAGCATTATATGTTACCTAACTTAAAGAGACAGTCCTCACAATGGCATCCCCAGTCATTCTTTGATTGTTTATATTTTTTGTGGCAGATCTGAACTGATCATTTCAGTATTTGTATCCACGCATGGCAGGAGAGTATTTGTTGCTGAGATGCACTGGGTTGCCCCAGTACCATCTGTCCACACACATCTAGAATTAATTCTCAATGTCTTGTTCCCAACATAGGCTACCGTTCCCCCCACACCCCATTGCCTATCTCTACCCTCTACCTTCCTGCTTCACTCTTGCCCCTTCAGCTCCTTGTTTTACCTGCCTGTGGGATGCAGAAAGGTGAGATCAGCTAGCAGAAAAACTCCCATAAGGAAAAGCCATCAAATGACATCCAAATCAGAACAAAGCAGAGCAAAAATACAACAGCACAACACAAGGCTTTGAAATAACTGGACAGCAAGGATTTTTGTCTTACTTTGATAGTAGTTTCAGCCCTATATTGTGTAGAGACCAGGAGGGTGGACCGGTATCATGGGAACAAGAACGTTGAACAAATGACCAGTGTGTTGAGGCTCTCAGATGAAAAGGGACTGCCTTTTTAAAAAGACGACTGGCTGCTAAAAGCAAACCTATGTATAAGCTTCCATGATCTCTTTTAGCAGATCCAGAAAATTATTTTGCAATGTGTACCTTGATATTCGATTTTTCTCTTCTCCAGTTCAGCTTCAATCTGATCCAGTACCATTGCCAGCTCGCCCAGGATTTTCTTCAAGTAGTTCACATTGTCATGCTCCAGGATTTTGGCCTAGATAAAAGAACAAAAGAGTACCAGTGCACTATTGTCAGTAAAAGCTGTAAATCAAGTAAAGCTATTACAAATCCTGCCTCTGGTATGAAATCACTGAGGAGCCTGCTGTCCCACAACTTCAATTCCCTCAGTTGGAATATGAAATATAACACTGGGCTACCTTAAAAAAATATATTGTAACACAGGAAGAGGGAATTATTCCTGATGCTCCTTTATGGGATAGAAGGAATCGGGGGACATGGCTGCATTCCTGATGTCACTGGCTTCCTCGTCAGATCACCAGCTGAGCTTTTCTAGCTTCACTCCCTGGCACTTCGCAAAATGCTCCTTTCTTAGCATTCCACAGCATTGGGAAGGCAAGCAAAAAACACGGCTGGTTCCATTCATGCAGTACTTTGAGAGCTGGCTGAGCATCTTCATTGGGAGTTAGCCCGCTTCTGAAAACCCAGAAGTTCTGTGTTCTGAGGTTGGGGCTGACTTGCCTCATGAAGCACCGCCTGAGTGCACCCTACTCTCTTTCTAAGAGATCCCTATCCAGTGAATGGAGTAAGGAGGAATCACCACCTCTCACCTTGCATATCTTCCTAATTAGAAGGGTGAGTGAGGCGAGGAGGCATCTCCATGTTTTCTCAGATCTGTATTCCCTCTTCACCTTGAATTCTTACCCGATTAGCATTTAGCAGTCCTTTGGGGACAGGGGAGGGCCTCCTACAGACCCTCCATGGGCCTAGGTTCTCCTCGCTAAAAATTACAACTAGATAATGCACAAGATATCCTTTGAATGCTGAAAGAACTACCAATAAAGTTAAACTGATTATGATAACTAATAGTGGAAAGAAAAGCTAAACTGGCCAGGATTATATCTTGTGAATAAGGAATCTGATTAACTAAAGGTTTGTGGATAAATGAGATGAATAGCAGGGAAAATATATGCCTCCTATTTTCCCTCATAAGAAATACAAAATGGCTGTTACTTTTGTTTCTCTGTTGGATGTTATCAGAAGTGGATGGAACTGGCAGGCTTAGTAACCTTTAGGAGGAGGTTACGCTAAACAAAATAAAGACAAATAGATGCAGAATGATGCATATTCATTTTCTTCTCCCTGTGATGTTAGGGGCCACATATGAAAATAGCACAAATGAGGGTGGCTTCTGCAGAAGGCTGCTGAGTTTCAGATGGATAGTGAGGATGCATGGAAGCCAATTTTGAAAGACTTAAAGATACAGTACACTATTTTGAATTGCTTATGGGTGTGTCTCACCATGAGTTTCTTCTGTTTGGAAAGGTATGGCTCTGTTAGCTGTGGCTCTTCTTCATGGTCTAGTTTCATCAGGTCTGAGCTTGCATTGACTAAGTGTCCTATGAAATACAGAGACAGAATGGGTTGTGGCATATCTCTCTCAATAGATGACAGCTATATTTAACACAGATAACATTTCAATTTGAACTGCCTTACATGTTGTAGAATTTGAATTAAATACATCAAAAAAAGCAAGAGCAGTAGGAACAGTTAAAAAGAAAGGCAAGGAATAAAACCACTATTTAAAGCCCATACTGTCATTACTGTATCTTTGATTGGCCTTTAAGGAAATTGTTACATCCCCTTGGCAGAATCTAAATTTTGAAATACCTTCTAGGGATATAATAATAATAATAATAATAATAATAATAATAATAATAATAATAATAATAATAATAATAATAATAATAATAATAATAATAATAATAGATAGATAGATAGATAGATAGATAGATAGATAGATAGATAGATAGATAATAATAATAATAATAATTTTGTGCCATTGAGCTGATTCAAACATTTGGTGACCTTTTTCACTGTTTCCAGGTAAAGAGTACAGTGGACCCTCTACTTACAGAATTAATCCGTATTGGAACAGTGGCTGCAGGTCGAAAAGTCTGTAGGTCGAATCTCCACTGACCTACAATGGATTGAAAACTGATTAATCCCGTAACCGGGCGTTTTTGTTCCATTTTTGTTCCATTTTGGTTTTTTTCTGGTCTGTAGGTCGATTCTCAGGCTGCAAGTCGAACCTAAATTTTGCGGCCAGAGAAGTCTATAAGTCGAGCCGTCTGTAAGTCGAGAGTCCACTGTACTCAGAACTACTCAGACGTTTAACATCCCTTTCTTCTGAGATTGCCATTAAACTATGTAGCTTGCCCAAAGCTACACAAGCTAGCTGTTCTCCCTGGAGGCGCTGTAAGGAATCTGAATCCCAACCTCTGTCTCTGCAGCCAGATACGTAGCTCATTGAACTATCCAGCCAGCACTCTATTGGGGACGGGGGACATTTTCTATTGAAGACTATATTCCTGAAGGGTAGTTTGTCAGGAGTAGAGATGGGCAAAGACCCCCGGTATGGCTATTCATGTTGGTTCAATTCTCGCCTGAACAAGAGTTTGGCACTTCACAGCCTTGCCTCTTCCAGTGAGCCTCCACTCAGAGACGGTGCCTCAGTTCCCCTGCACCGCCTCCTCTGGTTGCTGCCTCTGCGTGGGCACCCACTGGAGGAGGCAGGGCTGTGAAGAACTGGACACCTTTTTGGCCAATAAATAAACCGGCACAAACTGCCAAACTAGTGCTTCATACCCATTTCAAGTCTGGAGCCATAGGCTGGCAGTGGGTGGAGGCAAACAAATGATGGCCAGAACCACTCTTTTTTTGTGTGTCCCTATTTTTCTATTTTCTATCTTCTACGCTGGTAAATTTAAAGAGAAACATCTGGTGTCCAGATTGAGAGGCTGTTGGCAAAGTCATGAGCCCAGTTCCATTAAGAGATTTATAGGTAATAGCTGACACCTTGATATGACCCCAGGAAAATTACAGAAAATTGTGTAACTCACTGGTTCTTAACCTTGGGTTACTCAGGAGTTTTGGACACAAGGTTTCTGGGAGTTGCAGTTCAAAAACATCCGAGTAACAAAGGTTAAGAACCACTGGTGTAAATGATCAAAAAATATCTTCATGTGATCTGATAGCTTGATTCTTCCAGCAAATAGGCAGCCACATTCTGTACTAGGCATAATGTCTGGATACTCTTCAAGGCAATCCCTATCTAGAATGCAGTCAGAATGTTCAGCCTGAGAAGCTACCATAACAGACCTTCTCTGTGTCCACTAATGGAAGCAATACATTATGTGGAGACATGGAAGAGGGCCCTGCCTGACTGTGGAATGCCCTTCCCTTGCAGGTGTGATCAACATCAATGCCAAAGCTTGGCACTCCACCAGACTCCTGTGGCTCATGGTTCCCCCAGGTTGCAGATTTCTGTTTCTATCTCAAGGAAGTGTTCCTACTCTTCTTTCTTTTTATTATCTTTATTCTTACTCTGGAATATTTAGATACAGAGCAGGATAGAAATACTTTAATAAATAAAAAATAAATAGAAAACAGAAGAAAATGTTGAAACAATACTTGTAACTCCTAAAATTGAAACTGTTCCCAAGATATAAATGCCAATGCTTTTCTGCAATCTGATAGGTGGCTCATGAGGGGTTGATAGTAAAGAAGATGGTTATAAGATGGCAAGTTGCTGGGGAGGGAAAAAATTAGTTTATGATTCCTACTACAAGGCACCTAATTCCTACAGAGGGCTGTAATGAGGGATAGATACCTAGGCTGTTCACATAATCATCTCATCTCATCTTCCATGTCTATGGAGTCATATTTTCAAGTTAACATCACCACCCGCCCTTTCAGTCTAATCATTGCCTTTTTCTCAGGTGCGCCTATAGCCATAACATCCCAGTTTTTCTATCTCTGAACGGATTTCTCACAATAAACATCTTTTTCTTTTGCTTAAATTGGTCTTTGCTGCTTTGTCCAAGCACCAGCTTCCAGGCATTGCCAATAAACACTACTGGAACATATACCAAGTTGGTTGACTGATTATTTTAGCTCAGTACTTTTGACACTGACTGGCCACACTTTTCAAAGGAGTCTGCTGAGGACCTTCTTGAAGATACCAGGGACTCAACATGGGTCATTTTGTATGTAAAGCATATACTGTATGAACATTACGTAGTGGCCTTTCCCAGAGCCAGCCTGTGTTGCCTTGGGCAAGCTGCACAGACCCAGGATACCCAAAGAAGAAGGGAGTGATAAACCACTTCTGAGTATTCACTACCCAGAAAACCCTGAAAAGGGTCACCATAAGTCATAATTGACTTGATAGCAGGCACAAAATTATTATTATTATTATTAACCTGTATTCGAGAATACAGCTCCAAGTATTATTCAGTTAGTGCTTACATTGCAATATAGAATCTATTCAACATTTCACACAGTCAAGTATAGATTGGACTAGAAAATAAAGGTTCTTATGTTTCAAGTAACTAGTTAGTCCAAAGAAGGGATCAGAGTTTAGCAGAAACACTGAGTTGTTGGATGGAGAAAGAAGCTAAGGAACATAAGAAAGAGAAAGTCAGAGTAATGTGTTAGGAAATGAACATAAGTTACTTTACTTGTAGCTGAACTGATCATGCGTGAACCATCTGTCTCTCCCTTTTGTTCTGCACAGTTGGTTTTGGCAGCTTTTAGATTTTAGTGACCTTTGTGTAAATGATGCCAGTTCTGTCCTGAAATGGCATTTGGCCATAGGTATCATTAGCCCAAAACTACCGTATGCCCCGGTTTTCATTTTGTTGCTGCTAATTTTTATTTTTAAAAGTGTCCTTTGTTCGTACAAAGTCGAGACATAATCCTCTACCCACAAATGCACTATTGAGTCAGACACAAGGTGGAAACATAAAACAAAGGCTTCTGTTAAAAAAAATTACAGTTATTAATATATGGCTCTTCAAAGCAAAAGAAGAGTTTGAAAAGGGGTTTCTGCTACATAAAACATATTGCTAACATCTACTCAAATGGTTTCCAGGGTGGTGGTTTGGATCCTGTATACTCTACAGAACTGAATTGATTCTCATGTCCCAGAGTGACCCCAAACCGCATTTACTAATTAAAGACAATGGAGATAAGTATTATAGAAAAAGAATGGAATCGCTTACAATGCCATCCAGGCTCTTCAGTTACAGAAAACTTTGCTTAATATCACTTTTTTGCAGGCTTCAGAATGTTAGAATACTACTACTGGGTCAGATCAAAGTAATCCATCTTGTCTTCTACAAGGCCATGTTTCGTTCAGTGATCAGGCAGATGGTGATGAGCAAGCTACAAAGGATGCTGTTTCACCATTCCCAAATACATATTGGGGGTATATTGCTTTTCTCCATGAAGCTGCTACATAGCCTTCCTAGTACAGGAATATTGTTTTCTCTATTGTCATTAATGTTTTAATTGAATTCTATTGTTTTATGCTCTCATATTGTTTATTTTCAAATTGCTGCCCACTTTCTTGGTGAGTGGTGTGGAAAGATGATGTAGAAATTCCACAAATAAATATTTAACAAATGACAGATTCATTCCCTGTTCCTGTAAGGTTCAGAATGTCTTCCTTATTCTTGCAGGACTCCATTTCAGTGTTTCTTGAATGAGCAAGGAACTGCAATATTGTGCAGCCTGGGTAAGGAATCAGTGGAGAAAGGCATTCCAAGGACACTAATTTTATTCAGGTGAACAGGAAATTTGGCCTGTTTTTCAAACACCAAGCCCTTTTTAAGAGACAAAAGGAAAAGAAAATTTGCAATTGTGAATTGAGCACTTGGATCCAGAGTTATTCAGAGTTACAGTAAAGTGTGAAACCCTGGTCTGTGACTGGCAAAGTCCCTGCCTTCGAGTAGAACCAATATTTAAAGACATCCTTCTGGCAGAGTTATATTAGGCATTGTCAATGTTTCATGAATGCTTGTAGGTCAAGTACAGAGCCTGATGCCAATTTGTCCTGTTTTGGTAACTCAATCTGCATACGTCAGAGTTGCACAAGGACACACTCACACACACAGAGAATTTTGCAATAAAAACTGGCTGAGGTTCTTGTCTAGATCCGGGCAATGTGCACTTACTTGAATGTATAAATGAAAGTGAGCTTTTGCTGTACAGGCACTTTCCCATTTGCATTGCAACATTTGGTGTGAAGGGAATTTGTATCATCCTTAATCTGTAGGCATCCTTCAGTCTCAAGAGACTATGGTAATGTGCTCTGAATAGAGGTCGTGGAACAGCATCTAGTGTGGCTGAGAAGGCCAATTTGAGAGTGACAATCCCTTCCGCACTGAAGACAAATACAATCTGTCCCCTGTCCAGCTCCCTCATTTTGCTGGTTTCAGGACTGCCTCTTTGCCTCGGCCTGCTGAACAAGTGTCTCTTCAAATTGGGAGAGGCTGTGATGCAACGCCTGCCTCCAGGCTGAACGCTCAGATGTCAAGGTTTCCCATCTGTTGAG